AAAAACAAAAACAAAAACAAACTAACAAAATGTCAGGTTTGTGTAGAGAATACAGTCAATAAAAGAAAACACGACATAATTTTCCTTAAGACCTTCTCAGTGGAAAAAAAAAGAAAAGAAAAAAGGAGTTATTTATTGAAACTAAGCAAACTTAGTGACTTCTCTCCCAATCGCATCCTTATTGGCTTGCCTATGACCAATTTTCTCTGGCCCTATTTAATATGAAAACATTCATGATGGATGGTAAACAAAAATCCAACTAGAAATAGAGGGAGACTGACTATCTCATACATAATTTTTAAGCTGGAAGCAGATATAAATGGAACCACTATGAATCAAAGGGAAAAAAATTTCAGGAAGAAAAGTTCCAATAGTCTCACAGTTTAACTGAGGTTTTAAAAAAATATGAAGCTGAATTCAGCTGCTGTTCAAATATCTGCCTACATTTAATGAGATGTGTTGCATTTTTGAAGGAGACACACATACATCATTTTGTAGGGTTTAATACTAACTTATACCGTGAGAAAAATAGTAGCAAAGGATTTCAAAAGGGGGAATGAGCTATACACCGACTCAAATCTGTCTTTGAACAGGAGAGTAAAAACAGTAATTTAATGAAAACCACTCTTAAGCACTTGGCTTCTAATGAACATCCCAAGAGAAGATACCAAAGAAGTGTTAACAGGACAATGGGGCTGGAGCAAAAGACATTATTTCCAAAGTATGCTGCTTTTGATTTCCTAAATTTCTACAATCCAGGCAACTATGATGTTTGAAATATACTTTAATCAACATCTTGCAAAAACTCCAACTTTAAATCAATATTTCTATCCACAAATCTTCCAGTGACAATGTCTGACAATATAGAATGAATAACAATAAATCAAGATTAATGTAAAATTTTAGATTTGCCTTAAACAAATTGTTAATTTTTCCTAGAAACATGATACATAAAACAGATAAAGTCAGCAGAATGGTTTAAAAAGTTAAGGCTCCCTAAGAGTTCTAAAAACTAAAACTTAAGGCACATATTATAATCTTTACGACACTGTTAAAAGCTAAGATTTAAAAAAAAAAGTGGAAAAAAACCCCACAAAACAAACTACTTCCTTCCCTCATCCTCTGTAAGCATTCCCCTGCCCACCCGCCACGAATATGGCATTTTTAACTTAGACTACTAAGGAGTGAAATAAAAATTCCATCAATGAACACCTGGTATGTATTCCACACAAATGTCCACTGTCTGCATTGAGCACCACTGGGAGAATACAGGCCAGTAGAATATTTTCAGGTATCTTGGGTGATGAGCTGCTCAATTTATCCTTGGGCCCCTGGGCTCAGACTGGACTCTCCTCCTCTTTGGGACTTCCTTCCGTGTCTTTCTGCTCCAGGGATTTTTCTTCTGTTTTAGTAAGTTCTTTTGGCTTCTCAACAACATCTACCGCGGTCTCCTCCTCGTTATTTTCCTTCTTCTGCATTGCTTTCTGTTCTTTTGCCAATAGTCGATAATTGATGCCCATGCCAATGAAGAGATAGATTCCTGAGAAAATGAGGATGATGCCACATGCCCAGTATGTGTATCTGTAGTCTCCATACACGTCATTGAGGCGACCTAAAAATGCACAAAAATTAAAATTTTTCAAAAAATTTATGTAAGTAAAACTAGTATATGCTTTTCCAAATAAAGTTTAAAGGATCCACTCAGAATCTGCATCTTTAAGAGTCCACAAATGCCCAGTCACAAAAGGACAAATATTACATGATGCCACTGTTGTAGAATGGGATTAACCTCAGGGTTGGGGAGAGACTGAGTAAGATGTGTTCAATAATGTATACGGCACTGAAACAGAGGAGGGAGAAAACTGTGTAAAAGAGGTATGTGACTAGGTATTTCTGTCATCACAGGAGTCTAGAGCGAGGGCTACACGGTGG